CTTTCAATAAAAATTCGGTTTCACTTAGATCTGGGCCACCCCGTGTTTAAAGTTAATGCAGTTTCCACATAACCACTTATCCGTTTTGAACTCAGAAGATGCTCCCTACTTTTTTCGTTGCTATCAGTTCTTCGAAAAAATCGCTTTCATCTGTTGCTCAGTTCGGCAAACCCATGCTTCGATTTCAAGCTGACTCTCATGGCATCGAAAATATGTTGGTTGGAATGTGCAATAGGTGTCTTTTTAGCGTTCTACTGGCCAGCTTTACAGGCCATCGTAAAGAATGTAAAACTACAACATCCCAAAATTATGAAGTGTAGAATTTGTCGATAGGCCGAGGTACGACTACAGAAGCTCAGGTGAAAAGATCCGCGAGTCCGATACTCGGCTAATATTTTCTCAATCCTTCTCTACTGGGACTCAAATAGTTCGGCTCAAGATACAAGATACCTCGGGTTTTATTAGTCGGCTTATATGTCTAAGCAAGGGCGATTTTATGAATTGTATAAAATATCTGCACCGGAAAACCGTGAATTCTCGTAATTGCTGTGTTCTGTATGTGGGAGTAAACAAACTGAACATCTAGTCCAAACCGACTCAATAATATGAGAGGCATATATCAAATCATTCTCCTCATCGTGCGGTGGCTACTAGTAACTGAATACCCTCTGTTTCTTGAACTACGTTGCAGCGTTTCCTTTCATTCAGCAGAGTCACTGTGGTAGGTAATGCAGTTAAATACTGTGTAAAAAAACTGTCGCTGTTGTCAGGACCCAATATTCATCTACTATTGCTCACGTTTTGTCTACAGCAACCTCTAAATGTGTTCGGTATTCTGTTTGACGCACGAGAAGATTGAATTCTGTCGTAAATCCTGCGTAACCGCCTGTGACTGGCGTCTCGGAAGCGCTGTATGTGATTTTAACGGTACCCAATTCGCATCAGTACACCCGTCTTGTCAATTCTACCTTGGCGATATTGTCCTGCTTATCTCAAGCAAATAGGACATACGGGACGGGATTTTTGTTAAAAAAAACAAAATATACTCATGATCTATGTATGTCTAGAGGATAAGTCTCTTGCGACTAATGACTTTCAGCCCAGGGATATTAACGGAATTAAATGACTTCGGACAGCGTGTCCGTCAAAAGAACGCAGAAAAAAACGGCGCCAACACCCGAATTAATGCTACCTGCAGAACTTCTCTAAGCCCTCGAAAGTTTACCTGGACCCGTCGCTATGTTTCGATCATCATACGGATCCTCATAACGTTGTGTTCGCACAGCCAATTCTTTTCTACGATTGTGAAATATGAATTGTGTGCGTGCAAGACGAGAGTGAACGAAAGCTTTTCGACCGCCGCTATCTGAGAGAAAGTCCTTGTTTGGTTAGCCAATATGCAGCTTTGTTAGTTTGGTATGCGTTTTCCGTCACCCACCCCACGAATTCACTTTTGTCATATAACTGGTGTCGTCGCCCCTTCCGCAAGTCTGAGGTCGGCGAAGACGGAGACTGTTGAGACACAGGGGTGGCTTATGAGACTGCGCTATGCAATCGTCGTTGCTGAAGAAGAGGACCACCCAAACTCCGCAGACCCATTATCACAAACAGCTGGCCGTCGAAAGTCGCTATCTCCGAAATCCCTTAAGTATGCTGGTCGTGGACGGTCATGTTCAAGTAATCCAGTAAACATATTGTACTTGGATCTCCGTAAATCCAATGAAACTGAGTGCGAATTCATGCATACGCAAATTTTTGAGCTTCTCACAATCAGAAATATTATGAAACTTGTGATTGAAATCTAAGAAGTTCGGTCCTTTTTATTGTCTGAAAGTGAGGAAAGCGGCATAGGATCGTCGTATGCGGCGGTCTTTCAAAATGCATAAAACGTCCAGACAACATCTTTTACCATCAACAAGCATTTGCAGACAATTTAAAAGGTATTCGAGACCACATCTCCTGGAAATACCTATCATAACAGGATAGGTCATTTTGGAGGCATACAAATAACGGTTGAATTTATCAGACTAACTTACAAACTTGCTTTTCTTTTGTCCGTCAGAATATGCAATGAACGTTTCCATTTCTACTACTTCGTACAAGTGAGACCGAAAAACCTTCCCGAGAGCATATTTACCTGTCTGAGTGGAATTATTTGAGTGGCTAATAATTTCCCGCGAAAGGAAAAAGTTCTTTTAATATTCATCAGTCTTTTATTCTTTTAGCCGCCAAAGGCCACGCAGTGGTGAATGTGTGGTATAGGAACGAAAATGGCGAATGCGTGTATGCTACGTTTCTGGCGGACAGTAAGCAAGGAGAAGAACACATCCACAGAGGCACAGAGAGTTTTGACGAAAAGAATACACAGATCCCTACTCTGTGACAACAAAACTGCGCTGAGTTCCCTAAACTGCAGTCACACGAAAAATCGAACCAAGTCAGAGGCAAATAAGAAGACTGAGGGGAGAAGGCAATCCAGACGGAGGTTTGGCAATGTGCAGGGTCTTTCGGTTTCTTTCAACCCTCTCTCTTCTAACAGCACAAATGTACTGAAAGTACGCAAAGAAGTCAGTGTTTTGTCATTTTCAGTTCATTTTTTGTAATATAACTGACTATTTGTTAACATAAATTTGCTTTAATAATGCTTCAGAGTGTGGGACAAGACCTTGTAAAGGCACGAAAATGATAGGAGGGTTGGGGATAAGAGTTCGAATTCAGAGCGAAAGGCTGTCATCGCACCGCTCTCTGAACGTGTGTTTTCCTTGTATTGGGTTACTCTTCGACGGTCACAGCCGGCGCGGGCTCTGACTCTGTGGCGGCAGGTTCAGCGGGGGCTTCACTCCGTGGTTTCCCTCCGCCGACGACGAACCCTTCCTCAGTCATGACGACAGTGGTTGAGGGCTCAATGCGCTCGTAGCGCTCAACGAAGAGAGGACCGGCGAAAACGGTTTTTCGCTCGCTAAAGGTTCGGTGATCTTTCACACGCTCATACTCGCTGTACATGGACACCTTTGGCTAACAACATAATGGGAAGAACGTTTAATGAAATGGCGCA